TCAATAGCACATTAAGCCATTTATCACTAATTTGATTAAAGAAGGTCATTGCCGAGCGAGAAATTCCACTCCCTTCTCATCTACTTTAATTCTAATAACCAAGAGAGTGGAAAGAGGTTGCAGAAGGTAAGAAAGGGATGCCTCCTTTGGAGAGTGATGTGTGTGTTCAGAAGCCGAGAAGCTCTGTCCAGTTCCCCTGTCACGGGACTTGAAAAAAAGTGTGAGTGAGAAACAGAAGCAATCTGGCAGTTCCAGATTGGTGTCAGAAATGACTCAGGTCCCACTGAATGTATTCGGAAGCTTCCACTTTTGACTGATTAACCCTGTTTGTGCTTGAGAAAGAGATTAATCTTGCAGGAGGACACCACCTCTTGTTGCTTACCTTTCTGTTTCCGAGGTAAACCCCTGGGCAACCCTTTGCTGTGATTGAAAGGAATTAATCCTCCCCAAGGAGAAACCTCCTGGAATACATTCTCACACTGCCTGTGGGTTTAGAACTCAGCCATCACAGGCTTGTCTCTGCTGTCTAATCCTTCTGTTTCTTGGTGCCATGTTCACTCAGTTCCTCCTGCTTGTGTGATCCTGGAGAAAGTGAAAAAAAAAACTTGTGATGAACTTACCCAGGCGCTGTCCCCTCCACATTGAGCTTGCCACTTGGCCTCCTGGCGCAGATACAAAAGGCTAATCAGCCTGGCGTGGCTTGAGTTTTATTCACCTTCATAATTTACCAGGAGCAGGATTACAGTGGACCTTCTAGTTATGGAATTAATCTGTATTGGAATGGTGGCTGCAGGTCAAAAAGTCTGTAGTTTGAGTCTCCATTGACCTACAATGCATTGAAAACCTATTAATCCCCTAACCGGCCATTTTTGTTCCATTTTTGTTCCATTATGGTTTTTTTCTGGTCTGTACGTCGATTTTCCGGCTGCAAGTTGAACCTAAATTTTGCGGCCAGTCTGTAACTCAAAAAGTCTGTTAAGTCAAGCCATCTGTAAGTTGAGGGGCCACTGTATTTTAAAAATGCAAAATAAAGTGTGTTTGGGGGATGGAAATCATGGCCTACGGAAATGGTTCCATCTTTGCTGCCTGGAGGCCTCTTCTGTGTGGGACCTCTGTGTTAGACTCTCTGCCCCGAATCAGGCACATTTAGGCTGAGGGTGAGCTGCATGCAACCCCCACTAGTTTCTGTGATTCTTCCCCTGCCTGGCACATCACCAACATTTTTGGGAGAGAGAGAGAGAGAGAGACAGAATGAGTCAGAAAAAAGCCTGAAAAAGTGGGAGTTTTGCCTGCCCCCTCCCCCCCCCCCCGGCACTTGCTTCAAACCACTTCTGGTTTGGGTTTGTAGGTTGATAAGTGCTGTTGTGGGTCTGGTCGTTGCAAGATTGTCCCTCAGGCTGCCGCCGCACCCCACCCCACCCATGCCGCCTGCCCTGTAGTATCTGGTTATTGTGGCACTCCTCCTGTAAGGTCTGAGCAGTTGGGAGTTGAGTCTACAAGGCATCACCAGAGCAGTGGTATGTCTTTTGTTCTACAAGAACCTCTTCAGAGTTTGTGTTTCTGGTTACTCCCTCTGTCTTCTTATACAGCTGAAGCCAAGCCTATCTGTGTACGTCTCTCATAGACACTCATCCAGTGTTCCCTTCGGTTCTCCCTATGCCCGCCTGTGTTTGGACCGACTCTTGGAGACTGTGCTTTGCTTTTGTTACTGTACAGAGCACTTTGGCTTCTGACTTTCCACAAGGCTCTGTTTTGTCTCCCCTGCCTTTCAACCTGTGTGTGAAACTGAACCATTTTGAGATTTCGGCGGAGGGGTGTCATCCGTATGCAGCCTTAGCTCCCAAAGAGGCAGTAAAGTTGATAAACTGAGGTTGCCTTCCATTCAAGAGTGGGTGAGGCTGAGTCAGCTAAGATGCCATCCGGAAAGGACAGAAGTGCTGTTAATTAAGAATTCTGCTCATCTGGGAGACGCCCCAGGAGGAGAAGGGCTGCACCTTGGAGTTGTTCTTGAACCTGCTGCTTATGGTGGATGCTTTGGGGCTGCTGTTGCCTTTGATAGGTGTTGCTTTATGGTCTTGGAGAGAGTATAAGCCATTGGTACTATTCCCTCTGCGTGGGTTGGCCTTTCAGAACAACTGGGAAACTTCACTTGGTCTGAAATTTAGTGGCCAGGCTACATGGAGAAGGGCCTTGGAGTTGTTCTTGAACCTGCTGCTTATGGTGGATGCTTTAGGGCTGATGTTGCCTTTGGTAGGTGTTGCTTTGTGGCCTTGGAGAGAGTATGAGCCATTGGTACTATTCCCTCTATGTGGGTTGGCCTTTCAGAACAACTGGGAAACTTCACTTGGTCTGAAATTTAGTGGCCAGGCTACATGGCATGGCACACAGATTCCCATCTTGTTTCAACCAGCTATTTAGCTGTTGTCAGGCTAGGGCTGATGTTGCCTTTGGTAGGTGTTGCTTTGTGGCCTTGGAGAGAGTATGAGCCATTGGTACTATTCCCTCTATGTGGGTTGGCCTTTCAGAACAACTGGGAAACTTCACTTGGTCTGAAATTTAGTGGCCAGGCTACATGGCATGGCACACAGATTCCCATCTTGTTTCAACCAGCTATTTAGCTGTTGTCAGGCTCAACCCTGTCTTGCTCTTTAAATCCCTGCATGGTCTTGGTCATTGGGGGGGCGGGGGAATCTACTCCCATAGAGGCTTGTCAAGATCCGAGGTTTTGGTTCTTACCTATAAAAGGTAAAGGTAAAGGTTCCATGGCCAGGCTACATGGCATGGCGCACAGATTCCCATCTTGTTTCAACTGGCTATTTAGCTGTTGTCAGGCTCAACCTGTCTTGCTCTTTAAATCCCTGCATGATCTTGGTCATTGTGTGTGTGGGGGGAGAGAATCTACTCCTATAGAGACTTGTCAAGATCCGAGGTTTTGGTTCTTACCTATAAAGCTCTCCATATTTTGGGAGCCTGCCGCTTCTCAGAATGCCTTTCCCAAAGAACATCAGCCCGCACCACCCGATCCATGCAGGCTGTGCTTCTATGGGTTGCCAGGAAGTCATCTGCTAGAATCAGGGCCTTCTTGGTTGTGGCACCATGCCTTTGGAATGGATTCCCATGGGAGCTGTGCCTAGCCCCCTCCCACCTTGCCCTACCCTGTAGAGCAGTGGTCCCCAACCTTGGGCCTCCACACTCCCGTGGGAGCTGTGCCTATCCCGCCGCCGTCATGCCCTACCCTGAGGATGCCAGAGACTAAACTGTTTGAAGCAGAGGTGTCCTTGGTTCAATGTTTGTTTATATTTTTGCCACTGCCTTGCATTTGTTTAGGTCTGCTTAGCTTTTGGATCATTACATTGTTACTTCTTGGAATTTTGTTTGTTTTTCTTTCATGATTTGTTACCTCTGTCTGTCACAATATATTTATATTAATTGTTTTTTATATATAAACCACCCAAGTAGTGCTCAGTCTGTGAAAATATATGAATGAATGAATGAATGAATGAATGAGTGTTAAAACGGCCTTCCTGAAGTGCCTTCCAATTGTGCTGGACTGTGACTTCCGTTATCATACAGCTGTCTGGCTTTGGGGGCTATAGAACTGCATATTTAGAAAATAGCCCAAGGCTTGTTTCAAAATCTAACCCCCTACCCATGCAGGAACCCTCAGCTAAAGCATCCTGGACAGATGACCATCCAACATCTGTTGGGGAAAAAATCTCCCAAGTTGGAGAGCACCCGTTGAGGCAGGCTTTGCATCATTCACTCTCTGTTTTGCCTGTTTGGTGTAAAAAAAGTGATTCAGCAGCATTGGGAGAGGGTGTGGGAAGCGGGCCTTTTGTGAGCAGCTGTTCTGCTGGAATAGCCTCAGCTCAAGAGTCCCTCACAGTAGCACGTCAAAGAATGCTTTATTCCCTGGCCCTTTTCTTAGAAAAACAGGAGAGGAGTCCTGTGTTCAAATTCTGTTGTGCCTCACCCTAGCCTCTCAGCCTGGTAAGGACATCTACAAAAGGGATTAGGGCAGCCAACCTAGTGAGACCTTATCAAGTCTGTGGTCTTGAAAATGGAGAATGAAGGATCCCCCCCCCCGAGTATATAAGCCTACGTATATTAATGTAGCAAAAGTATCTCTGTCTTGTTTTCTTTTTTTGTTTTACTTCTTCCTCTCTTTTCCTATCCTATTCCTATGTGTTTATTGATCTGCACCTTTCCATTTCCCCCAACAAATAGGGCTCAAAGCAGCTCGCAGCAAGATGAAGTCAGAAGACTAGAACAGGTTCATTTAAAAACACCTGCCTGGTCTGAGTCCCCTTTACTGCCAAACCCTTGCCTGTATACAAGTTCATTTCCTGCTCTCGAAAGGGCAACAGGCAGCAGCCGATCATTTCCACCTTTGTCTTGATTTCCAGAGCTGCTGCTGCTGCTGAGAAAGCCCGACTATGCTGTGTGTAGAAAAGCAGCTTCCAAGATAGGAAGCCAAGCAGAAATTACAAGTAGCAGCAAAACCCAAAAATAGTACGATAGCAGGACAATTGTTTTTTTAGATTGTAAGCTTCTCGGGGCATAGCCTTCTCCTCATACACTTGGTAAGCAGCATGTGCGTTGATGGTGCCGCCGTTAGAATCACAAAGCGTGTTGACTGGTGGGCCTTGCGGTAGGCTGTTGTGATAATTACTAGGATTATTGTGAGAGCTTTGAATGCTTACCCTGTGCCGCACAGATTATATAGTTATTGTTATTGTTAGTTAAATTGGTGGTTTCGTGTGCTATGTCTCTGTCTCTGTCTCTCTCTCCTCTTCCTACAAAGCAAAAAATAAATTTAAAAAAAGGCACCCCAAACAAACCACTCTCGAGAAAGCACAGCATTTATTCTGCTTTCCATTCTGTAGAGGGAAATGTGCTCGAGTGTATCTGATAGGTTGCCCTTTCTGGGAAGATTGTGAAGATGATAGCAGCTTAACAGCATTGATTGTGCTATAATTGGGTTTCTTTTCTTCTCCCAGGCCTCTCAGGAAGAGCTGAAAGCTGCCTACCGCCGGCTGTGTATGTTGTACCATCCTGACAAGCACAGGGACCCGGAGCTCAAGAGGCAGGCCGAGCAGCTTTTCAACCTCCTTCATCAGGCCTATGAAGGTCAGTGGGTTCCATGGAATCAGAAGCAGGCAGGCAGGCGGCGGATGGGAGGGAGGAATATTTATTATAGATCCAAGGTGGCAAAAGTATAAGAAATTAAGATACGGCAGGAGGGAAAGCCTGCCCAAACAGCCAGGTTTTAAGTTTATTCCTGAAAACACCTTTTCACCCCTGTAAGAAGTCTGGCCACCGCATTCTGTACCATCTGAAGTTTCCGTGTCAATCTCAAAGGCAGCCCCACGTAGAGCACATTACAGTAGTCTAATCTTGAGACTACGAGTGCATGGACCAAAGTGGTGAGCGCCCGCACATCAAGATAGGGGTGAAGCTGGGCAATCCGTCTAAGGTGGTAATGTGCGGAATGGACCACTGATGACACCTGGGTCTCCATGGTGAGTGCCGAGTCCAGATGTGCACTCAAACTGTGAACCTCACTCTTGGTGGTAAGAGTCACCCCCCCCAAAGGAGAGGGAGTTTCCCACACGGATGTCTGGGACACCCAACCCGAAGGACCTCCGCCTTGCCCGGATTCAGCCTCAGTCCATTCACCTGCATCCATCCAAGTAGTCATCCACCTTTTGGAGAGATGGTAGCTCCCACCCACCCCACTTATGTTTCTAACTCATCCATTCTCAATGGGCCCCGGAACATTTGAAGGGGGCCACAGACTAGGGTCCCAAACAGGCACACCGAGCTCCCAGCATGACTGGATGGCCCCAAGTCAATGGGTGGAAAATTGCCATAAGGGCTTTCCAGGGGCTGACTCTTTCTCTGGCTGCCCCCAAGGTAGCCCAAGGTGATTTAAACGCTGGTCCTGGAAGTGCAGGTTGAGAAGTAGCATGGGAGAGGAGTGCGAGGAAGTAGCACGAGGAAAAGGCTGGAAGCCCAACACATTCCAGGAGCATTGGTGTGTCAAGGGTCTGTACTGAATCCCACCGTCAGAAAGCACTTGGGTGTCTGTAGACTTGGAAACACAAAGAAGTGTAGCTGTCAGGGTGCCTCAAGACAGATTAGGAGAGAGGGAGACGGGGAGAGATGGATCCACCATTTGTCTTAGGGAAATAAACAGAAGCCAACATAACATAGTCCTGGTTAAGTCTAGATTTATAGACTCACTGAGAGCCAGCCAGGCGGAGAGATACAGAAGAGAAGGAGTGCTTTGAGGCTGTGTGGGTGATGTTTTAACCTCCGGATGGGTCTTGGGTTGAAGGTGCTTCAGAATTAGACCCTGTTCCCGGCCCAAGCTCTAGGCTGGTTCATTCAAAAGTCCGGTTACGAATTGCCGGAGTAGGGTAGCAATCCAGGAGTCACAAAGATATCTGTAGGCGCCCCACATTTCTGGTCTTTGTGTAGCCTAGAAGGGACATCTCCAGCCTTGCTTATATGAAGACACCCTCTTTCCTCTCTGTCTCGACCGCTCAAGGTGCCGGTCTTGTTCATCGGGTCTGCAGAGAGCTCTTAGTTTACAGCTGGTTTTTATACATTTCAAAGGAGGAGCAGACGTGACTTCTTGGCTCTCCTTCTTCCGCCGTCCCTAGAGATCGTTCCCCTGGAACTCTGAGCCTGCCCCATCACCTGGTCGAAGCTTGGTTGCAGACCCCCCTCCTCCTCCCTTCCACCTCAAAACCTTATTCAGAAGCCGTGACTTAAATCTGACTTGTGTGACAACTGCAGCCTGGTGAAGGGTTTTGGAGGTCTCGCAAGCATGCTTCTGGTTTTATCCCTATTTGGGGAGCCTCGAAGGGAGAATTACGTCCACAACCCCTGAGGTGCCTTTGCCTCTACTTCTCCGGGCCCTTTTGCTTTGCCTCAAAACCTTTGCCCATCCAGCCTTTCTCCGCATAAGAAGCCTATCAGGTGGGTGCCAGGGTGATGCCCACACATGTTCAAAATCCCCAGCCATGTGACGTGTTCAGAAAAGTGGTCAGAGCTAATCCTCAGTAATGGCAACCTTTCTCTTTGGTCCACTCTCCCTAGCTCTCCTTGGCCCCTTGATTGCAGGGCAGGCTCCTGAAGGCCGTTCTCCATAAGTGCGGTGGCTTTCTTTTGATTGCCCTAGAACTTGACATAAGTTTTGATCTCCCAGTTTTGAGGTCGGCAATCTGCCTCGAGTCCCTTTCTGAGTGACTAGAGCAGTTTCCAAAGCTGGAGGGGGCAAAATGGGGCCAGCCTATAGTGACCGCCAGACGCCTCCCCCCCCCCCAGTGACCATTGGGGGGGAAAACTCATAGAAAATGGGATTTCCACTCCTGGAAGCCTCTTCTGGCATTGGCGGTTTTTGCATTGGGGGGGAGAATTGCAAACTCCTCCTACAGTTCTCTCTTACTAGCAGCACAAAACCAGCGGGAGACACCCAGGCATTGCAGATTTTATTTTATTTTATTTTTCCCCTTTCGTGTTTGTTTTTATATTTCTGGAAGCGATGCAGCCTGGTGGAGGTGAAAATTTGCCCACCTCTTTTACCAGTGTTTTCTATTCCTGCTTTAAAAGTCCCAAGCTGTTATTTGGAAAGAAGGAATTTAATTAGGCTAGCAAAGACCAAACGCAAGTATGTTTGTTTATTTATTTATTTAAAAAATTACCCTCGCCTTTCTCCTTAAAAAGGACCCAAGGCAGCTTTGCCTCATTTGAAAAGACAACATTTAAAACTATAAACAATAAGTGTACAAAGGCAGCTTACATCATAAAAAGATAAGCTATAAACAATACGTATACAAATATTAAGGAACAAATAAATGCCACCCGTATACCCTGCCCATCCGTTTGTTGACAATGACAGTACTAGAGTCTGGTTTACAGGTCTGTAAATATCAAAGTCCGATATGTCATGCTAGTTATCCATGTGGCCCACGTCTGAAATTTCCTCACCTGGTCAATATGGACAATGTTCCGTGGGCACCCAGAAAGGGCAGGCACGGGGAGAAGTGGTTCTGCAGTAAAGCAAAGCCGATGTCTCTGGGCAGCCCTGGGCCCCCTGTTTTTTTGTGCTTGCTGCCCCAAACCAAAAGGGCGATCGACGAAGTTACGCAGACTAGAATTTGGCCAAGATCATTTCCAGCAACCCCCAGTCCCGATGGCATGCCATTGTGGCAGTCTCCCTGTTGTCATTGACAGCCACCTTGGTGGGCTTTTTGAAAAGTATGAGGTACAGAGGTAGTAGAAGGGGGCCACGTTCCTCCCTCTTTTCTCCCCCTCCCCGGCACCAAGTAGAACAAAGTTCATGATCCGGAAAGGAAACGAGAAGGGGAAAAAATATCCAATGCCGTCAGCACTGAAACGATCTGTAGTAGCAGCTGTAACTGCCAGTGTTTCTCATCAGGCTGGTTTTGCTTTCCGTGTAGGATTGCAGTCGAGATGAGAGATTTTTTTTCCCGCCACAGAAAAGTATGGGCTATAATTCATTTGAGACGCTGTGTGCTAAGCTTGGCGTGCAATTCTCCTATAATTAGACTTAACTAAGTATCAAGGAAGACGCTCTTCTCTAAAATAAAAAGCTTTCCCCAATCTTCTGTAAAAGCATATCTTAGATCTTGTTAATGCAAGGGTGGAGAGAGAGGGGGTTGCGGAAAAATTAGATGTTAATGGCCACGGGGAAGCTCGGGAGGAGGCTGCTTGATGAAGCCACAATGGCTGAGATAATGCCACCTCGCCAGATTTTTTAGCTCTGCTCTGCCAGCGTAGGCAGATGGGCGATGAGCATTCTCCTCCAGCTTGCAAGGAAGCCGTTGCCCTTTTGATTATATCCTGTTATCTGGCCTTGGTTGGATGCCTCTTGCCTGTATCTAAATTATTGATAGTTTACCGTCTTTTCAGAGGCTTGGGGAGAAAGTTGCTGAAGCTCAAGTGAATTAGGAACTGGCAGGATTTTTTTAAGCTCCCGTTTTTTTTTTTCTGGAGCAAAACTGCAGCACCAGCAAGAGTTTTGCTGTCCAGCGGTTTGGCCCAGAGGGGGAAGCCAAAGCAAAAATGGTGAATAAATGATTCCTTATTAAATCCCAGAGATTAGCTTTAAAAATTTTTGGCTGTGGCGTTTTCTGAGCGGTCAGCATTTCTTTCCTCCCATTAGGCTTGGATGTGGGTGGAATCATTTACAGCTGTCTTAATTAGGTCTCTGGATGCATAGGAACAAGCTTTAAACAGGAGTGTTGGCGGGCAGGCGGGCGAGCGGTGGGGGAGAGACCATTAGAGACCTTGAAATGCGGGATGTTTTTGAAAAGGGAGCCCCTCAACCTTCACACTCCAAGTGGTGCAGTTTGAAACCTCGGTTCTGAAGATCCACTTGGCCTCCTCTTGTGAACGGGGGTCCCCGCCGGAGTACCCGGGAGCCTAATTAAAAATGTAAATCCAGGTTTGCGAAGGCATGCATCCGACCGATACGCTCGGAAGCCAGCCTTAATTGGCCCTGTCCTTTTGTGGAGCAGATGCACGGTGGCCTGTTTTCTGCTGCCTTCTAAAAATAGAGTTTGAACGTCCTGGTGATTGAGTGTGTGTTGGTGTATGTGTGTGCGCGCGCACGCGTGCATGTTGAGCATATGCAAATGCTTCAGCCTGAACTATCTAGGATGCTGCAGGCTCTAAGTATGTTTTGCTTTTCATTTTCAGTGCTCAGTGACCCACAAACAAGAGCCATCTATGACATATATGGGAAGAGAGGTCTTGAAATGGAAGGCTGGGAGGTAAGGAAGATGGAACCAGAGAAAGCTTCAAATGAGTTGTTTTACAGCTGCCACTGTTGGCATCGGCCAGATTATTGTGAAATCCTGCAGGTGTTTCCAAGGTCTTCTATGCCAGTGCAATCCCCGATGAACCAATTCTTCCCTGTTCTTCAAACACATACACCCCTCTGCCATTAATGGGCTGTTCTATCTGGTGGAAAAATTCCCTCCAGTCTCTCAGCTATGGCAACAAACAGATCTGACATTAACTGAGAAATAACCTTTCTCCTTCAGTCAGACATTCGAATTTCTCCAGCATAGCAACACCATGGTGGTTAAACAACAGAAAGGAAAGGGGGGAGGGGGGAAAACCTGTCAATTTAAAGAGCTGCCTGACATAATCATGCTTTCCTTCTGCCCCTGTTTCAAAGCGATGCTTGTCTTGAACTTTTTTTTTAGCATACAGTAAGTAGTTCACCAGGAGAATACTGTATACGCCCCAAAAGGCATCGTCTTAGAGTTGGTGGGATGTTAACAGCCTCTTCCGAGAGGCGATCATCCATGGTGGAATCTTGCAGACAGATTAGCTGACTATTGAGGACTGAAGGGCAAATCCGCAGAATCTTTCAAGGCTTTGCCTGGGAATGTTTGGCATCGGACCGGGGGTGTGTGCGTTTTGTGTTTGACTGCTTCCCCATTAAAAAAAGAATCCGCGGAATCTTTCAAGGCTTCGCCTGGGAATGTTTGGCATCAGACCGGGGGGGGGGGGCGTTTTGTGTTTGACTGCTTCCCCATTAAAAAAAATCAAAACCTGCCTGTTCCTAAAAGGGCATGTGGGGAGGGAAGCTTGCTTACCTTGTTTCCTCAGCCCAAGGGGTTATTTCTAACGTTGAATTCTTGATATCCGAAGACCCAGCGAGAATTGGTTCCCAACCGGCTCTTTGGACTGGGCACACACTTCACATAATGTTATTTGGTGTCTGTATTCACAAGCCACAGCGAAGCACAGTATGGCAGTGGGCTGACTTCAGGCTTGGTGAGGTGTTTGAATCCACCTTTGTTAACGAACCACAAGCCACAGCCTGGAGCCCTGCGTGGTGGTTGACTTGAGAATTCTGTCTTGTCGAAACCACGGCTGGCGATGACGTCCAAATTGCAAACCTGTCTTTTCTTCATCCCTCCCCCTCCATCCCCTCCAAGAGGCGCTGACCACGAGAACTGGGGCGAAACAGGCCAGAAAATGGGGGAAGAGACAAACCACCACTTATATTTGTAGTTTGTCTGTTTTCTCTGTTTGTTGATCAGTTTCTCCCCAGCTCCAGTGCAGCCTGTGGCCTTCTGCTGAGCCAGTATGAACACGAACTATGGTTTGTTAAGCAATGTAAGCCCACCCATCTTGCTCATTACCTGTAAAACAGAAGGCTGGCCAGTCCGTCAAAGATCAATGTTAGTGGATCATGTGCTGTCTATACGAGCAGACAACACATGTTTCTCTCTGCAGCCTCCTTCTAAGCATCCGTGTCCTCACCTTGAGTTCTGTCACAGACAAAATGTACGTTTTTAGAGAACCACCACACTTTAACTCTTTTTTTTTTACTTGAACATTCTGCCTTTTTATTCAGTCTGATCTGTGTTGAACCTCTGGCATTGTAGCTCTTGAGATATTTATTACTTCTGAACACAGAAGTTTTGTACAGCCGCCCTAGAAGCCTTGGCTTGCAAACTATTGTTGAACTTCTAGATGGACTTTCAGCCTTGGCACCTCTCAAGTTTTCAAAAAGAAGCACAGTCCGTACCATCAATAAGAACCCTTTGTTTCTGCTTTAGACTGGACTTTTTTTCCTCCAGTCGCTTATAAATCCTCAATAGGATGGCCTCTTAAATGGGTATTCTGAAAGGACAGCACACCAGGTCCAGCTAAGAAAGTCCTTAACCACTCTACCACCCCACTCCCTTTTTTTTCTGTTGGCAATGGCATATTTTGGCTAAGACTTGTTGTTGCCCTTGAACATCTTCTGCAGAAAGACCTCCGTCTGTCCCCTCTCTGGTTTTAAGATGTTGGCCATTCTTTGCAAAAAAGAACACTTTTAACCCCTGCTCTCCAATGCCAGCCTCCACCCTACAGCGTATACACCTCCTTTTTTAAAAGCTGCTCCCATCAAAGTGGCTGTATGTGGCTCTCTTCCCCCCCCCCCCNNTTAATTCTCACAGTAACCCCGTGAGAAGGCTAAGCTGAGAGACCTAGAACGGTGGCAGGCCTGGCATGTCCCAGGGACTTTTCACGGATACCCAAAGTCCTGGTCCAACACTCTTAATGGCTGCAACCCACTGCCTCGTCCAAAGCTGCATCCTAGGTGATCGGTGTCTTTTTCAGAACCAAGATTTTAAGAGTTTGCATTCATCATTAAAAGGCAGAAGAGACTGCTCAGGGCCTTGCCCGTCAGGAGTGTCCTTTGAGAATGGATGGTGGTGGTGTTCAGGAGGGCGCGGCGCAAGGCCTTCTTCATGGAAACAGCCTTTAATCTGAGGTGTACAAAATGCCTCCCTAGGCGATCACTGAGATGGATTGCGGGCAATGCTCCATACAGAGAAATGAGCCCATTACTTACGAGGTGAAGCCACATTTAACGAGTGGCGCTGCTTTTATGGAGCTGCGATCTAGGAATGTTCCGTCTTTATGGAGTTGCTGGATGGATTGTTTAATAAAGATCCCGTCCCGCTTCGGTCGTAGCCTTCACTCCGGGGAGGCCGCGGTCTTACTTTGAAAGCAGTTGCCAGGATTTTAAGTGCCCTTAAACTCACTTGGCCTTTGCTTCCTTCCTGTGGAGCACTTGTGCGGTAGCTGGTAAGAAGCAAAGGGTCAGGGAAGGCGCCTGCCTCCTGCCTCCCAGTGTTTCTGCTGGAAATTTCCGGTCACTTGGTCCGTGAAGCTTCCTGCTCTTGAGAGCCTGTTTGAGCTGGCTGGCACGCCTTGCTCAGGTTTCCATAGAGTTGCTAAGTCGAAACAACTTCCATAGAGTTGTTGAGTCAAAACAATCCGTCTCTGTGAAGAGAAATACAATGTGGGATGTGGAAAGCCTTCAGTCAGTCGCTGATGAGTTAAGAAGCCATGTGGGCTTTGGCGGGGCTGGGGAGATTCAGAAGGCACCCTCTCCCAAAGTCTGGTGTTGTGACGGCCCCTGATCTTCAAAGCAGACTGTTTGGCAAGGCCCAAGTGCAGGTCGCGGCATCAGCATGAAACGAAGGGATCAGGAAAATGCTCCGCTGCCACTCCCAGCTCTGTCGGCAGAAGCCTGGCTGGTAGAGATAGGGGTATTCGTATACAAATACTAATATCCCCAACACAGCTGGAACTCATGAGGGTTTGGTCCCCAGGACTGGACCAAGCACTCACACATCTTGCCACCGCACCGGTCCCGCTTGTGTTTCCAGTGGCACTCAGAAGTGCCACTCTCTCCCTGCTCGGCTGTCCATTCCAGGCAGGGGGCAGGAGGTTGCGTCTCCCTGAAAAGGCTGCCATGCGGGTAGAGAGCAGGGCTCCAAGGGCCATCGGAAGGATGAGCAGGACCGGCGCCATGGCAAGACACGTGAGTGGACAGTCCGGTCTCAGGGGCCGGACCCTCATGAGGTCCAGCTGCATTGGAGATATATCGTGTTCATATATGAATATCCCCATCGCTACTGGCTAGGAGTCCTCCTCGTTCAGAACTGTACCAAAACCATAAGGTTCAGCAGCCTAAAGTAGAAAGATGGGATGGGTAGGAGGGAAAAAAGGAAAGATGATGTCTGTTGAGAAGCCAAGGTGAACCTGTGTTGCTTAAGGTGGGTGTGAAAGTGAGTGTCAAAACCAAGGAGGAGGGAGACTTTTCGGTCAGAAAGACACCCCTGTGATAGAAGAGGGAGAGGGGGATGTGGAGAAATTGAGGGACTCGATGGAATTGAGGGACTGGCATCTTTAGAGTTGGAGCAGGACAACTTGTGCAGAACACAGACCCCCAAGACCAGTGGCTCCCAACCTTAGGAGGTCACCCGGGTGTCTTGGACGGCAACTCCGAGAAGCCTTCACCACCAGTTGTGCTGGCCGGGGTTTCCGGGAGTGTCAGTCCAAGGGCGTCTGGGTTGTCCAAGGCTGGAAACCACTGCTCGGGGTTTCCGGGAGTGTCAGTCCAAGGACATCTGGGTTGTCCAAGGCTGGAAACCACTGCTCTAGGAAGTTGCCGTCCGTGGCCAGAGGTTGGTGGAGGGCAGGGACAAGCTTAGGCAGGCCCGGAGCCTGTAGTAGGCAAGGGCTGTGCTTTCTCTCACTTAGACTCTCTTCCATTCCTTCTTGCTCTCTCCCCAGTTACCTGCCAAGGAAACGTCCGAGGGTTGTTGCCAGAGGTCTAGATTGATTTATTGCAGAAGAAAGCTTTTCAGATTAAACTGAGGTTAATTTTAGAACTCTATGTGATCATGGCTACAGAT